GGGGTCACATGGGTCTGATCAACATCTTGTTGTGATGTTGCTCAAACAATGCCATGAGAAGGTAAAGCTTTACAGATTGGGGGAGGCTCTGATTGACTACTAATGACTTGATCAGCAAAGCAGTTGTACATTTGATGTGATATTATGGGAAATAAACAAGTAAGTTCAGCAGGTAGAAGTTAAAACTGGGAGTAGGTTTTTTTAATGGAAGTTTACATTTTGAGTTAAAGAAATTAAATATAGAATTTTTTTTTTTGCAATGCCTGAAAAATTAGGTTTGTTCGTATACTGATACCTGTGTCGAAAATGCCTACAATACATCGTAAAAAGCTGAATGGTATTGGAGAGTATGCGAGTCCAAGATCACGTTATCGGCTCATCTATGCTACACAGGAACAACGCGTGTCATTCGCTACCTGATCGGTACATTTGTGGTTAAACACTCTTGTGCAACCTGTTTCTTCCCTGATGTATCTAGCTAGCTTTTCTATACTGTACTTAAATGTTTTAGGATTACTCTAACTCTTGCCACGCTTTAGTTCTTTCACTATTTGTAAGATGGGCTGGGTAATGATGACCCAGCATCGAAAATTGTTGTGCCTTCTATTGTTGGTCATCAAATCAAAGTGATTTTAATGAAAATACCAAAAAGTAAAGCTCACAATGTTCATCAAAGACACGAGGAAGCTCTTGAAGACATCACTTGTGCTCATTACCTTGTGACTCCTAATGCAATCATCTCGCCTTGCACATTGTGTACTATAGTAAGACAACGCTAACCTTTCAGACAGAACACAGTCCTGAGGTTATCTTTTGACACAGCAGTGATAACACACTCTGAGTCATTGCATAACCAGTGGCTTTTGAACTAAACTGTGTTGCAGCAATTGTAAGATCGCTCAAGGGGAAGGAAATGGCCTTGGTTGGTACTTTTCATGGCCAAACCACTCAGCATTTCCTCTGGTTCATTTCATTATCAGTCTCTAAGTAAGTACATTTTCCTAATGACCATATAATGACATTTAGGCTGACTTGCTTGCTACCAGATTCAATTCAACATGGCTGCACTCAGGTTAAAAAAATTGAAGCCTGCCCTGTTATCCCGACAATCATTGTACCAAGAAACCACTAGCGTAGCTAATTCAGGTGCTAAAGGTCAGGGAGCTGTTAGACAGGGACGTGGTCACGTTATCACAGTGGAAGACTAATTCCACGGCAGGGACAGGGGAAGTGAGTGACTCAACGGCCTGAGTGACAACATTACTCCTTAGTCAAACAGACAGCAGCAATGGTAGTCTCCCACCGATGTTAGGCCTTTACACAGTATGGAACCTGAGCTCAAGCAATTGGGAATGAGACAACTAAGCCTTTGTTGTCATGAGATCCTACCTGATTAATGTTAGAGTAAAAGTATATACTGTATGTATGCGAGAGTACGTCTATGTAGACTCTGCACAACCACCGCTGATAAACTGAGAGTTTCAGGAAATGCAAGTACGATGTTAGCAGGGACTTGAGTTCTATGTGTGCTTTTCACAGTGCAGAGGTCTGTTCTGGCCCACCATAGTTTACTGTGTTGCATTCAAGTCGTCAACTCCCAATATCCAGGCCTCTGTGTGTCCGACAGCGACTGCCTGTGAAACACGACTCTATCCTTCATGAATCACAGCACTCTTTCATGCCAGAGGTGGCTGGTGCTTAAAATGTACATCTGAAACATCCCATTCACTCCCCGTGCAAGTTCTGACCCCGATTCAGTCGCTTTGTCACAGTCAACGGGTCCAGATAACCTTTGAGCAGACAGAACGGCACACTGGTGCAACATGACACCATGGCCATTAGATAGCACGCCAGCGGGAACAGTTATTACAAGAGCAGCGAGGTCTGCTGCGATAACCGACAGGGCTGCCGTCAGCAGATCGAGGCCAAGTGAGGCTGCACGGCGGATGAGCCTGATAAGTATTCAGCAACCCAACTCTAAATCAGGGAAAAACTTCAAGTTAATCACTTGAACAGTAATCCATCCTCAACATCTAGGTTTAACCACAACAACAAAAATACCCCAGCTACAAAGTGGACACTGACATTGGAGACGTACATTTCAACCCCAACAGGTATCAGTTGACCCAATCAGTGTGTGTGTGTGTGGTATAAAATAACATGTTTTCCTTCAGTGGTAAGGTCACTGGGCCATACCTATAGAGCCAATATCCTGAAATAACCAACCGTATAGTGACCTATAGAGAGTTTCTGCAGCTGTATTAAAGTTGTTTCCAGCAGTGGAAAGTAACTAAGTACATTTAGTCAAGTGTTGTCCTTTTTGAGGTAATTGTACTTTACTTAAGTAGCTCCAATTTATGCTACTTTATACGTCTACATCCCGGGGGGAAATATTGTTTAATTAACTGCTATACACTTTGACTTTATATATAAAAACAGGATGCGGTTATTGATAAGAGACCATTAAAAGTCAGTTATATTGCTGATTAGACCTCATGTTAGAACTGTGTGAAGCACTGGTGGGATTTAAATCATTTACTAATAAGAACAATAAAGAATAAAGAAAAGATATGCTTTATTGTGTTTCATAACAATAATCTGTGTACTGCATACAATAAAAAACACCTTTCAGGACACTGAAGACTTAATTTAACAATCTTTAACTTGTATTTACACTTTAGTATTGTTACTTTTACTTGAGTAAAGGATCTGAGTAACGTTACTTGGTTGTTTAATTTAAGATAAACTACTACTACTACTACCACTACTACTACTACTACTACTACTACTACTACCTGTAGCCTAGCTAACAATTCAACTTCTCATTCATACACTTAAAAAAAAAAAAAAAAACTATTTAAAACCTTCATAAAGATTGCAGGGCTAACTCTAAATGGTGCTGTAACGTTAGCCAAACAATGATAGCCTTCTTGTGTTGTGATGTGTTCACACAAGTCTAACTTAGCCAGTAATGTTCAGGCATTTGACTGGAGGGGATACAAGTTAACGGTAATTCCATTTCCTGTAAGAATGTCCGTTATCTGAGGCTAGCATGGGAACAAGCCCCGACTTGGTTCACGTTGAACGTTAGCATTCTTCTTTTCAGCTGCCAAGGTGTCAAGGGGGCTAATGTTAGCATTCGTGTGAGATACAGGTTTTTAAAATGTCAGACACATTGGTGGACTAGAAGCTCCCTGACGTTGCCCTCATGTTACCACAACACTTCGCTACAGTAACACCGGTATCGTCGCTATCTGAATGTTTGATACAATAAACCTCTGCTAGGCAGGCAGCCAGCTAGCAGGCTAACGCTGGCTAGCTGTCAGACACACGGCGCCGCAGAGCGACATTTATTATGCAAACAAAACTCACCGCATGTTTTCTACGTTTCTTCCGCCGCTCTTCAGTATGCACAGAGGGATCGCCACCAGCGCCAGCACCATCATCCAGCCGACGTAAAAGCACTTTTTGAAATAGAAAACGAACGTGCTGCTGCCCCACATCAGGAGCGGGAGCAGCAGCAGCAGTATCATCCATAGCACATCCATAGCGATCCACCCGGAAAAAGTCCCACTGCCAGCTGTAGAACACACGCGGTTTGGAGGGGGGCGAAAAAGCCGCTAAAACACTGGTCGGGCTACGGTGCAAGAAGGAAAGGGAAGCACCGCGAACCTGGCGAACATTACACAGTCTGAACTAGTCCTTTAGGGCACCCAGGCGATGGCAATGTTTGTCTCCGGCTGCCCCCAAATCAACATGTATCGTTGTTGCTAAATGGCATCATGAGGTGGAGTCAAATCGTCATTGGTTGTGTTTTTTTTTCTTCCATTTCCGGTTGCTGGACCACTATGGGTCTGATGTCACAAGCTGCATGTTTATTTCATATCAATTAAATTAGTAATAGCTGTTCAAGCATTCGGTGATTATCTATCCGCAATCACAGCTCTTGCAGGTTTTTATTTCAAGTTTCGTGTGGCCAAACATTCAAATTTCACTCTGCTATACTAGGCCTATATAGATTCACTCTCTCCACAGGGTTAGACCAGTTTGACAGCCAATTAAAGCACAACACGTCTAATTGGATTCGCAGTGATAATCCAATCCTAAACTTTAATCTGACACTGTCCAGTGGCCTTGACTATGAAGTTGCAGCCCTGTCCAAGGGCTCTACTTGACATGATTTGGAAGATTAGGATCAATCAGTCATTCATCCTGATTTAATATGTGCGGTGATCCTAACCATTAGCAGACTCTAAACTTGGCATCGGTGTCCTCATTCAGAAGGGTTATTTGCAAAATACACCGAAGCAAAGGATGCTTTTCTGTGAAGTGGTAAGTAACAAGAATAGAAACCTCAGACTCAAAGCAAGCTTTCCTCATTGCTCTTGATTAATGCCTATTTAAAATCATATGAAGGTGTCTTTGTTGGTCTGTATATACAGACAGGAATATAGAAATGTGGACAATAGCCTTGTTTGCACTCATCCATGATTACAATGATGACAATGGGATAAAATATGAACACCAGCCTTTTTTGGAAGATGGTGCACCATCACTCTACTTCAAAACACATAAACACATTACATGAATACACTTTGCACAGTTTAAACATACAGTGCTTACGTAATAGAGGACAAGGGAGCTTTACAATGCTTTCTTTTAATTGCATACTCCATAATGTTTACTTGTGTCATATTTGGGACCAGAATCACTGGCTTACAGGAAAGGTTTTCACTGCAACTTACTGTCAAAAATAAGGAAGACAACTTCCCTTTTCCCTTATTGAAGATGGATGAACAACATTTTATATTTAAACTACTGCTCTGCTGCTTTGTCCAGAAACGAGGTTTCGCTGTGCCTTCGTGGACATGATAAAGTAGCATGTACTGTTTACTTACTAACTCAAGTGTTGCGACATGGTGTGATGCATTGACAAAGGAAGAAACCTGACACTAAGCGATAACAACCAGTGCTGGAGTTTTGCATGAGTGTGTTTGTGTTAGTGTTAGACATGGGTGTGTGTTTGTCTCAGTAGTTACTGTGTGTGTGGTTGTGGTATATTTGTTTGTGTCCTCCGTCTATATTCTGTACATTTTATGTGAACTTTAGAGGATTTCACAAAAGTGCATCAGTTTCAAGCAAACCGTTAATCCAGCCACCTGGTGATGCAGCAACAAAATATAGCGTGTCCACATGACTTTAGACAAATACAGCTTGCCATTTCCCCTTTCTCTTACTATCGAAACCACAAATGTAATCAGCTGTCACGTTGTTTCACTTCTGCTTATTAAGATCAAAGCTACAACAAGCAAAAACAGAAAGCTTGGCAAAGTGGGGAAAAAAAGATATTCAGAGAAAGTTTCCTGAGGAAATGAAGTCTAAATGTAGTGGAATGGATCCACGATCAGGGGAAGGATCCAGATCTTGTAGAATTTAGGAGTTCGGGGTCACAGCCAGGCTCTCTGGACTCAAACTCCTCCATCTGGAGATTGTGAAAACCTGACAGAGGATTCAGAAACTATTGAGAAGCCTTGAGAAGAGTGACCAAGAGAAACAGAGGTCCAGTTCTGAACATGGTTTGTTGTGATTGGACGTCTGAGCAGGCCATGAATTGTTCAAGCTAAACATCCTGTTGAAACACAAGAGGGTTCACAAATGTTCACGGTATCAGAGAGCTTGGGCCATAGGATGATGTTGAATTTGGAGTTGCTCTATCAGACCTGTGCACTTGGATTAATAAAGAGGCCGAGCTGCCAGCGGATCATCATCTGGTGATGTGTTGGATCAGAGGAAAAAGCGGTGATTCATGATCTCATCGGTTAAACCGAAAGCAGGTGGTAAAAGCCGTTGATGTGAGGTAAAGCATATCACTCTCCCTTTAAAGAGGAGCCAGGAATACCTCAGATTCAAGTCACTGCTCCACCTACAAAGAGACCGTTTTTTCTGCATTTAATAAAGGACGTACTGTAATAATGGTTATTGCTTAAGATTTCAAAAGACTTGATTTCAGTGTTTTGTGATGCAGAGTGGTGCCTGACACCGACAGTGAAAGCCCTTGTGCCCCCCCTGCTGGTGAAACTACGTTTTTTATTTCAAATTATGTAATCTTAAAGGCACAATCCGTGATTTCATAAACAAAAAAGTTGCCCTATTACCTTAAAAGGTTCTCTGTACGATGTTCAGAGCATTGATTGGCTGTAGAGGACAAAGGAGTGAGTCTACCTGAGCAGAGAATGGAGTGGTTCGTGTGTTGTAATCCGAGTTTCTCTATGCTTTGTTTTTCACAGCCAGGTAATAGAAATGCTCTGCATATCGAGTTTTCGAGGTCGTTTAATACGTGATTCAGTGGAATCAGACACGTGCTATGGTGTCGGCCTTGCTGTAGCAGAGACTTAGAACTAAATGGATCACAGTAAACATGATCTCTATAACTATCTTAAACTTTTTATCAAGTTGTTATTAGATGGTAATGCAGTTGAAAGCACAGACTAGTTTGAATTTAAGTCTGCTCTGCATCACTGTAGTTATGGAACAAAACTTAAAGATGTTCATCCAGACAGATTAAGTCAATAGGACATGTTAAGTTTCTCTGCAATGTGATCCTGTGTGGAAACAAATGGCTGCCTGGAAAAATGTTTAAAAAAAAAAAAAATCTCAAATTATTTGGTCCACATTGGAAAGTGGAAAGTTAAAGGTGATTCATCGTAAATGAGCTGAAAGATACTAAACGTGGACAGGCTAAATGATCCTTCAGGGCATGTTTGAGTCCAGTCTGATATGTCATTTTGGAAATGGGTTGGGCCTCCTGACTAATTATGAAAGATCGACTTAAATTACATTTATTCTATTTGGTTGCTGTACAACATTGCTGGGCATAACATCTTATAGTCCCTAATAATGGATACTAGTGTGTTTTTAGCCACTGCCATTTGTATATGCTACCAACAGAGCTCAGGAATCTGTTATCTTCTCTAATTGTAATTGATTAGTTTTCAAAGCAGACATTTTCCGGTGTAGGAAAAGCACAGGCATAACTAATAAAAAGTGTGTCAGTAAGGGATGTAACATTCCAGGGCCCTGAAACCAGCACACTGGAAAAATAAAAAGTTTGCTGTGAGAACAGTCAATTGCAGATGTGTCAACATTTACTTATGATAAGATAGTCTCTGGGCATTATGATCTGAATATCTTTTTGTTTGGCAAGCCTTCACTGAAAGGCCTCTCTCTACCTTCCTGTGGTTCTCTCATCAGCTCTTTGTGCCCCCTGTGGTATAATATTTAACCACTAGATGGTAGCGTTACTGTAACAATATGGCCATTGGATTGACTTCTACTAAAGTTAATGCTGATGATTCACATGATTAATCACAGTGACCATGAAAATGATGGATATACTTGTCTTGCCGCAAAACAACTGTTTTGACTCCACTTAATGATAAATTGGATTGTTAAATGTCTCTCATGTAGTCTAATACAGTTATTTACATATCTATTTCGTTTTAAGTATTTTATTGTATGATAATTTTCCTATATTTACCAGGTAATAGTCACTTTTTCAAGGGAGACCACATCCAACAGGGAAGCATAAAACAATATGTTACAATAATAAATCCAAACAACAGAAACAGACTAAGGCAACTGTCACACACTTACACTTACAGACTCAAAATAGTCTGTAAAAATATTAAAGATGAAAGAGTGTCAACAAAATCTACATTTGCCTGTTCTTTAGACCAAATCCACTGTCCCCGAGAGCTTTAGATATAGTGTAGGAATGTATTCTGAACCTGATTCTAAATTAGCTGTCATTATAAAGTCAGGGAAGTGTAAAAACACAAGATATAAAGTTACAGTTGTTGCTAAATTAGTTGCAACCTTGGGATAAATGATGAACTAGTTTTCCATATAATCCCCCTTTCATGTGGCAGTCGTCCACTAGCTGAATGGCAGGTTTTTAGCTGTCTTTTTTTTTGATTGTTGGTGCGTGAACGTTTCTTAACTCTGCACCTTCAACGCAACATCCTGTGTGCAAAGTGGAAGCGTTGCGGCTGCTGTGTTGAGTAAATCCAGGGGTGTTGTCTCACTTCATGCATGATATAGCTTTAGACACAAAGACACAAAGACAAAAAGAGAAAGTAGGTAGTTGGTATTAAGCCCTGTGGGGTTTGTCAATGAAACATCTGCCGAGGGTGGTGACCTTTTTGAACCCCCACCAGCCCACGTCCCCCCCATAGCCTCCCCTCAGCATTCTCATCGGTCCGAGCCCACAAGGAATAGAGAGTGAGCACCGATATTTGTAAAGGGCTTTATTGGACAACCCTGCAGTGACAACCCCCCCCCCTCCACACACCAACCTCTCTCTCTTTTTTCCCTCTCGTCTGTGAGCGCGCAAAAGCAGCTGTCATTGCCTCGGAGCGGGTGCCCGCGCGCGCTGCATATAGCGAGACTATCCTGTTTGAAGATTGTGCTGCAGCTCTTGGCCATCTTGTATCAGACAGAATGAGACGTTGATAATAATAAAAAAGAAAATAAACAATAAAAATAAGAACGAGCAGAGGAGCACTTTTTTTTTGTAACAGAAGACGGTCGGTGACGAAGCGACTACAACGTGAAGGCGAAACATCACGTCTGCCGCTGCGTGCGCTGAAAACACCTCTAACGAGTTGTGGATTATTCCGAGGACATCGTACTGAAACCATGAGCTGGGGGTCAGAGCTATGGGTGAGTGTCTCGTGCACTTGTATCGTTATAAATAGGGCCTTTTTTTCTCCTTCAAACCGAGCCTGTGCGGAAACTAACGGTTCAAAGATAA